TCGGTCATACGACGCCATGGATGTCCATGAGTTCTGTACATGGACATCCCACTTTGGAGTTCAGTTCCCATCGCAACATGGATATCCAACGCAGAATCAATCCCTCGCCTGCGGGCTTCGCTCTGCAGAAGCACTGGTGGCAAAGCGAGCAGTGCGCACAGAACCACCTGAAGTCACAGGGATTCTCTGGCACACTTGGGCCACATGATGATGTTGAGCCTGGCAAAAGGCCTCCTTCTTGCAGCTCCTGCACTAGTTGGGGAATTTGAGGAGCCCTATATACAGGAATTGGACATACTATTGGACATACTTGATCTCCACAAGGATAAGGGTACATCGTGCAACAGATTCGAGTCGGGCTTGGGGGGTTGTGCCCGTTCCACACGACCCCCGCTCCGGTCCGCTTCGGAGGAGTCGACTCATGGGCGATGGATTCTTTCGGAGCGATTGCACCACAAAGACTGAGTAGTTTTTCAGCTCTGAACTTCTGCCTTTTTATACCCTCTTGATGGCCATGGACTGCGAAGCCGAAAGTCTGAAAAAAGCACCGGTGGATTTGCAGCCACCAACCAACCAGACCCTTTCCCATCGGATTCTCTCGTGCGTCCGTGACCGCCTCGGGCGCCGAGAGCACCCTGTGCTCTCGAGACACCCCAGCGCCTCGCGGTTTTGGAGCGGTTTGGGGCGTGACACCTTTGGGCCAGGAAGGAACCGGCAATGTAGATGATATATGGGATAGGGTGGTTTGGTCAAGAAACATGAACTCTGAGAGTAACATGAGTAACTTTGGGAGATGTCGGAGTTCAGTGATCAGCTTCGATGTCGGCTTTTGGTTGAAAAAAAACCTGGTTCTCTGTGGATTTCTCTCTGTTTTCCACTGATTTGCTGATTTCATCATGATTCGTCCAGAGGCATGACGATCAATGAGTTCACTACACAGTTGCGGATCCAAACTAAGACAAAAACCCAAGAAATATCGGTTCGAGTAGCTATGAGCTACGTGGGTATGGGATTGGATTTCCGGCCTGCTTGACCTTTCATTGACCTGTTCCGTCTGTAAAAACGGGCTCGCGCAAACATAAAAAAAAGAAAACATACAAAAACTGATATCGCATGATATCGCCGTATATCGCTTTTTGAGTGAAAACATGGGAAAACGCGTCCAACTGGGGCGAGCTTTCCATGCGAAGTCCACCATTAAAATTGCCCAGGAAGTTGTGGCCCGGTTGCCGATGGTTTCGGTACGTGGCCAGTGAACGATCGAATTCAAATCAAATCATCGAGCTCAACATCCCTAGTTCAGTGGGAATCAAAACCTCCCGAGCACGGATTCCGAGAAAGGACGCAATTCAAAACAAAAATAAGGTATTAAAGCTGCCTCCGACGGCTCATTCCGGTGTTTTAGACCTATCAGTGTTCTTGTGACAACAACTCGACTTCACCTCGGCGCAGCAAAAGCATGGCTAACCTTAGACGATGGGACAAAAGCCATGGATTTGGCCGATTCCAGCCGACGGGGTCCGAGAAGGACGGTTGCTTCACGGTCTGGGTCGCGGTGACCGGTGGTCGGTTCCCTTTTGAAGGGGAGCGGATACAATATGAAAGCAAAACCGGGCTAAACCGGGCAGTGAGGCCTAATGTGGGTGAGGCCGCCATAGGCCAGACATGGTCCGGTTGCGGGCAAGGCCTTCGTCTCACTTCTTGAGCGACACAGTGACGAAAGCACCATTGACGTGCGTGCGAACCATTGGACTCCGTTGGACAGCTTGAAACTTTAGACGAAGACAATGCCTTGGAGTTGGGACATGTAGCACGTAACAGTCTGTGCCGCTTCGCAAACACGGGTCGGAGGACTTCGACTTCTACGCCTTGCGAGGACGCGTTAGAAAAAGCACCGCTTTACTGGGCGAACGCTTGCCCGGTGCAAGACATCCATGGAAAGTATCAGCGCTTCTTTGACTCAGGGTGCGTCCATATATGCGTGTGTACATAGATTATGTTAGAAAAAATATGGTGTAACTTGGGGACACAGTACCTGGTTGTTTCTGGACTTCGCTGGTCAACATTGATTCATTTTGGCAAAAATGTGTTCCGTTTTCCTTGGATGCCTCTAGGGTCTCCCTCTCACCTAGCCGGGACCATTCTTAAATTCTTTTGACTACCTGACTACCTGTAAGATAGATCGCAAAAGCTATTCTGGATTTCGTTCGCACAATGGAATGCTGCCATTTTGATATTTACGAAAAAGTAAATAAACTTCCAAACCACCTCCTAGAGACCATCCATCCCTCAAGGTGGGCAAGCAGGATATGCAGCATGCAGCATCAAACATCAAATGGAAATTAGCACCACAACCAGTCTGACAACAAGCAAGATGTTTGGTCGACCAATCACAAAATGGACCCAACACATTTCCGCGCAAGATAGGTTCGACCCCAACCCCTCGCCCCAGTACTTGGACCTGATCATTTTAAAACCCTGGGAGATGACATGAACCCCAGAACTATTGAGCCTCCCCCTTCCGCAATGTTTCTGATGAAAAGAGGTTTGCCTGACTCAAAGCCAACAGTTTCCAAATAATTACTCCAGAGGTGATCATGAGCTGTAGCTCAAGTGGCCAATATCATCAAGTTGAGGTTGCTGTTATGGGTGGCTGTTTGCGGGTAGCACGCCGCTGGTGAAAAAAAATAAATCGCCGCATGTGGACGGCCAAGCTACTCCTAGGACCAGGTACACCAGCGCAAGGACGATCCTGGGCAACAGTTGCTTCGTCCAACGCGGCAACTATTGCTCTCATGTGTTACAATATACTGAATACATGTTCCATTGCTCTTTCTTTACTACTATATTGTTATTTACTTTTATGAGCATTGAGTTGCATACCAAGGACCAAAGAATGGAACCTATATACAAATGTGTATATACCCTACAACTCCAAAGACCCAGGCAAACCTGGTCCTTTACCTTTTTTAACAAATTAGTGTGTTTGTATGACCAACGTCAGTAAAATGAGGTCATTGACTTGTAGAATATATATATATATTTCATATGGAGCTATGCTTGGTATACATATAATTACATATACCAGAGATCCTTCGTCGCGACCATCTCCTATTCTTCATGTGAAGGCACCCTCGTCCGTTGCTCTTTCGGTGACCCCAAACGAACGGACCCTGTCTTACGACCCTGAAAACGACACGAAAGCTGGGCCGGTGTCCAGGGACCCATCGTTCGGTCGTATCCTGTTTCTCTCGAGGACCACGTGGGGATTGGCCCGAACTTCTATCTATTTGGGGACCACTATATAGATGTAAAACTGGCGTCTCTCTGTGTCTCCCTAAAATGTGGGAGCCTCCTCTAATCTCAGGGCATCAAACGGAAGGAATTGTAGAGATGGAGTCCAACCAGGGTTGTCTCCAATGAAACAGGAAAGCGCTCTCAACATCTCTCAACAGAGCTCGATGCAAACCTTTCTTCTCTTGCCTTTCGCGAGTCATCGGTGGCGCCCCGACCCTTCATCGGGCGCTCCGTGCGGTGAGAGAGAGTGATCGAAACTTCATGCCATCCCTGGGCCATCCCTCTGGCATCCTCTTACTGCCATCCCTCGCTTGTTTGTATGCCCTTTGAGGATTTGAGACTCCTCACTTGGATCACTGAGGCCGCCGGCAGTGGCCGGAACCGCGTGGTTCCACCGCGCTGGTTCCGGTGGCTCACCGCACGAGGCTGAGGCATTGCCTCCCGTGTTGCGGACCCACAGGGGGTGGTTGATGGACACCCCGAATCACCTCTTTTCGGGGCTATCAATGGAAGCCCCTTAGGGTGTCCTGGTACCTTATATAGAAAAAGAATGACAAAGGACTTTAAGAAACCTTATGGTTATGGCCTCCACCCTAGTAGATGGCCTCCAACCTGCTATGGAAGTGCATGGAATTCCAGACATTCCAGTCGCCTATTCAGCTAAATGTAGGAACAAACTGGGACAGGAAAGTCTCGGGGAGGATGTCCTATCTCCATGATTTCGAGCGTACAGAAAGGCAGGATGAGTCAAACTGGTAAACAAACCACTGAAAACCTGATGGAAACCCAGAAAGGATTCCCGGACCTCGGAACCCAGGAGCTCGCTTCATTTGTTACATGGCTGAAAAAAGAAAAACATTAAAACCAAAAAGACACATTTGTTTAAAAAATATATATCATGTATTGTTTCTTAGAATGCTGCCGTCTAGAAGAACAATGGAGTAGGTCAGTGTTGAACACCACCACAGTCTCCCAAGCCCTATACCCAGCGACATCAGCCTCAGTCTGCGACATGTCGTGAAAAACTGGAAAACACCGCGCTTTCGGCGTGAGATTGGGATAGACAGAGATGGACATGATTGAACATGTCTTCTTTGGAAATGCCATGGTTCCGGAGCAATGTGTTCCATCATAATCTCTATCTGTGTGGCAATGCTTTGTCGATCGAAAAAGGGCATCGCAGCACTTGTTCGGTCGGATCACAACAGCTTATCGGTCGGCACAGCTGATCTCGTCTTTTCGTTTTCGATCCTGAAGTGGACCTAAAGCGATCGGACTCCATCTGTTCACATGAGAGGGTCAGGACTTAATGCGCTGGTGCTTCTACCCCTTCTGAATGGGTGCTGTAAGGAAGGCTCAGGGGCAAACGGAAGGAGTGGTAAATCCAAGATGCAACATCCATCAACATCCGACGCTCATTCCAATCCTTCATGATTTAAGATACTGAGCAGCTAATGGCTTCCACCAGGCAAGCATGCGTGGCTTCAACCCGCGACGCCTGGCGACACGTCGTCTCCTTTGTTTTGCGACACGTCCTCGTCGATTCATGCGTCCGCGATCCGTCCGCGAGCCGTTTCTGGCGAACCGCCGCCCTTTGAAATGATTGGTTACAAAAAAGCTTGGATCGCCAAACGGACCTTGGCATGTCGGACTTGGATAGCCTTGAGAACGGTCTGTACGTACCGTTCGATCGGCAGGAGCACTTCAGGAAGCTCAGCACATAGTCTGAGAGCCTCGGCTGCTACTTCGAGGAGGGAAGGTTCCAAGAGTTCCAATCAGGAGGTACAATTGAGGAACTCTACAACCACCACGAGGAGTACAGGGATCCAAAGCGGGCTGACAATGGTTGACCAAGGACATAAGGAGGACAGGGTGATCTCTTTTTGGAGAGGAAGTCTCCAAACTTTTTAGTCAAACAGTTATATATATATATGTTTAGCATTTAGCATCTAAATCGATGTCAAAATGCCAAACATAGACGCCAAGAGTCCTAGTTCAGTCCAAAAAAGACTGATGGACATCAAAAAGTTGTTGAATCCAAGACCCAAAAGAGAAACAAACGCCTCCAAATTTCCACCAGAGGTTGAAGAACCCTATAGACTATCCCATAGGTACCCCAGTAAGGTCCTATAAGGTCACTTAACGTCTCTTGGTTAGGATCCTTGATGTTCAAAACGTCCGATCTTCAACGCCACCCCATCTGCAAACCCGTCAAATCGCTCCTGGCAACTCGGTACGATCTGATCGAAGAAAGACTTGGGTGATCTTCGGTGTCGTTCTTTCCCAGACACGACCAGTCTGGGACTGGAATATTGACATATACATTGGGGTGGTTAAAAAGTGATAATTATCATGTATGCTACATATGCCAGTCCCATCGGTCGTGTCCGGGTGTCAACTTCCCGATCCCGTCGCTGTGACACTCACGGGCCGGCGTGGACGGCGCAGCGAGTGGCGTGAGCCAAGCCGCCACTCCATCTCATCGCCCTCCGCCATCGACCGAGCACCGGCACCGGTCCTCGTGCTGTGAAGCGGTGAAGCGATTCTTTCATCTGGGTCACACCATGCTCCCCGAGCCATGGAAAAACACATGAGCAGTGGGTTCCTCTACACACACACACACACCATATCTACATATACCACCTGTCCTAGTTTCCTTTTCGTGTCTGCCAACATAAAAGGACATGACCAACAGAGGTTTTCAGAACTCTAGTTCGAAAAATGCCAGTTCGGTTTTTCCAGGGTAGCTCGGTGTTCCTATGGAAACGGTCACAGCCAAAACCCTCTCAAACAGGGATCCATGGCTTTCGATCGTCCAAACGGGGTCGTCCGGGTCGTCGGGCGGACCTGCCAGGACCATCCGACCCGACGAAGAGTCGGTCTCCAGAACACCTATCCCAGTACGTATGGCTATCAAAACAGGTCCAAACTGGGTTAGGTATAGATCCATTCTGAAGGTTTGGTATACATCCATACTCTCACTGGGTTAGGTATACATCCAAACTGAGTAGTAGATCCATTCTGATCCAAACAGAACTGGTCCACTTGGGGGTTCGAAACATCCACCCCAAACCGGCAAAACCACACCCCAACCACCTGGTCACCGGGAACAGCGCAGCGTTCCGGCGTTCCGGCGACTGGGGGAAGGTCCGAAGACGCCGCTGCTTTGCTTTTCCAAAGAAATAACAGCCATGCATATAGTAGTCATCTGGATTTGTGAAGGCTGTTTTTCAGCTGGATTTGTTCAAGCTGGTTTGTGTGTCGGCATCTGGATTTGTTCCATTGTTCCATGTATTTCCCGATTGATGTCCTGTTTTTCGGCCAGCAATTGTGAAGTCGCAATGGTGGTTTCTCTTAGTGTTTTCATTCTTTGGTTGAAACCCGATTGGGAAGCTCTAAAGAGAAAGCTCGGCACAAAAAGCTGCTGGCAGTCATGCAAAACGTGAACAGCCCTCAAGGAACAATCCTTGAAGTGTCAAGAGATCTGAATTTAATTTGGACTATAAATTGAATAGTTTCTTTAAACAGATAATATAGATTTAACATCTGACTGACTATGTATAGTGGTATGTTGGTCTATTGTGGTCTATTTTGATGATGGTATATTCTATTCAAACAAAGAATAAACATGGTAAGATTCGCCCGTTCTTGTGTCGATCTTTTTTGGAACAGGTCATACCAGGTCGCGGTGCGACAGCCAAGCCAAGTGCTGGCAAAACCCTTCGCTGTCAGTCGGGACCTGGAAGGGACCTGGAGGTCAGGAGACTGGAGGGACCTGGAGGTCAGGAGGCTGGAGGTCAAGACCGCACTGGTAAGGCTCAAGGTCAATGGGATTAAGGTAATCCAAAACTCCAACGAATCATACAGGCGTGGATGGCAAGGTGCTAGTCATTGTTCTGAAGAGCCATGTGCCCCAGAAGCCAAGCAGAGTTTGCAAGCACTGCACTGTAAGTCAACCAAAACAAATGGATCGCCGCTGGCACATCCTTCAGGCGGGTCTCTCTTCTTCGTTCGTCGGTCGTCAATGTCGTGTTTCCGGCCGATGGAGATGAAAAAACAACACATGCTGGACTGGCATCCAGCGCCAAGGGGAGCCCCCTCAAAAAACGAGGGCTTATACAGTCACTTACAAAAATAATACCAACACTTGTTGTTCGTGCACGGCAAAAGGTGGTTTGTGAGCTCTAGCTTCACACATGACCCATCTACATATACATATACACATGCCACCATTTGTGTCAGACATTTCTAGCTCTAGCACAGCTACGGCCGACCATTTGTCATGGGTTGAAGCTCCGCTCCGGCCGTCGAATGAGGCGATTTCGGCCATCCAGTTCATCTTAATCAATCTCATCCCCATCCACCAGCAATTGTGAGTCCATCCATGATTAGATGAAATTGAATTTGTTAGTATATAGGTGTACTATAGAGAGAGAGAGAGAGGGAGATTTATCATATCCATTAAGCAGTCGTGAGTTCAAACCATTCATCTCCATCCCAAGCTCCGCGACCCCCTTTTTGCGCCCGCACTGCTGCCCTGCGCATGGCGTTGCCGCAGGCAACGCCCGCCCATGGCACTGCATGGTGCTTCCCGCGCTAAGGAAGGTCAAGCGAAACACTTGACTCAGTCAGGCGCGGAGGAACTTGGCGTGAACTTTGACCTCGCTACTGCTGAGGTCAAAGAGGATCGATGAAGGGAGGTCATCAAGCCACACAAGACTTGCAACTACCATCTGTACATGAGGACTACTGGATCGACTGGTGCTTCATATTCCATCCAACATCATCCAAGCCCTCACTGTTGCTTCTCCTGCTTCTGGGAGTAACAACTCACCCTATCGCCGACGGCACAGGACTTCGTTGTCTCTTAGTCTCATCAGGTACAGGCTTAGTCGACTCTTGATTCATCAAAACCCCATGTTGAATTGAGCAACCTCTTCAGGCCTGGGGGCCTGGGCTGCTTGATGCCCCTCAAGAGTCGAACCCAGTCCACCCCGGAGCCCAACCAGCTCCCGAACGACCTGCCAGTGCCCCGGACCCTGCGCCCAGTCCCGTCCCGGACCCTGAAGGGTGTGGCGGACCCCAGTGAGGACGTTGATGGCCCCTACAGCTCGGATCTATAAGTGGGACCCACCTGACCCCGAGAACCAAAGAACCAACATTGGGTATACGGTATGGTGGGGAAAAACCGCCTGGAAGTTCTTGCATCTCCAGAGGTTGAAGAATCCAATATAGACATCTATAGACTATCCCATAGGTACCCGGGCGCCCTGTAGGGTGCTATTTACAGTCACATCTTGGTATTGAATTGGTCGGTTCGAACCGTCACAACCAGGAAAATACGTCCGGGAATCGATTCCAAAGCGACCGACATCCTCAGGTCGCAACCACTTGAGACACTTTTGGAGAGGCCTCGCGTGTTAACACGCTGCTCAGCGGCAGTCACTGCTAAGCGGCAGTCCGGGATGGGCATGGACATGTGAGACATATGCTCATGGACATGTGAGACATATGCTGATTGAAATAATGTTGAACAAGGACCTTGATGCAAAAACCACTGAAAGATGTAATTTTGTTCATGTTTTCCGTTGTCTTGCAACTTTGCATGGATCCATGTTCCTAGAAATGTGAAGAGTTTGTAGGCCACCATGTTGGTTTCACAAGCCAGAATCTAACGTATTCTACCTAGATTCATGGTTCATTCATGTTACGACTATTATATTATACTTCATACTTGGAAAGGATGTACTGCGGTAGGATCACTTGGGACTTGATTACAGGCTGCCTTACAGGAACTGCTTGGTGGAGGATCACGAAGGACAGTTCAATGACATGCGTGCGGACCGGTGGTTTCATGGTGTTTCACCTGTTTGCACGAGGTGAATTCGGTGCAACTCATTGGAAAACATGACCAGGTGAACATGACCAGGTGAACGACATCCGGTGGTTTCACGGTGTCTTGGTGGAACTCATTTGAAACCTGACGTCAGGAGGCCACAACACTGCGAGGAGTCCAACCTGGCCTTGTGTGACCAGTACCTAAGTCCTTCCCCTATCTATACCTGGAACCCAATTGACCCCTGTTTTGATAGGAAAAGGCCATATGTTGGGTGGTTGGTGGTCCAAAATAGAGGTCATTCAGGTTCTAGGTATATATAATGATGCATCCTTCAAGGATTTTGACATGCATGGTCTTCTGCCCTCACAATCGTCCACTGACAGCCCAACAACGGCGTCCCTTCGTCACCACGGAGAGTTGCACCTGTCACCGATCAGCCCTGTCACCGACAGCCAGTCTCTTCGATGGTCCACCCCCGAAGCCGTGCTCGGGTCGTCCCCACCGGGGCCACCTTTGCCTCACGGATCTCGTGCTCCAGCGCCGCCACCTGGGCCACTCGCTCCGCAGGAGCCACGTGGGCGTCGGTGCGGTGCGTCGCCACGAGCCATGCCGGATGGGTCCCATTCGTGTGGAACGGGTCGTCCGAAATGGGCGGGGCCTTTGGGCCTGTGGCGTGGCACCAATCCATTCGCAAGGGTCACCAGAACCGCGCTGGCGGCTTGGTCTCTTTCCGGTTGGAAGCTCTCCTCATGGGCGTTGACATGAGGACCGACTATTGGCCACTGGACTATTGGCCACTGGATGCAACCGGCATGTGTACACAAGCCTGCCCTCCCCACATGAAGGCCCTGCAGTGATTTGACGCTTCAGCATCCGGTCTTTCTGGTTCAGTTTCATCCGGCCGAATTTCAAGGGTTAGAAGTGGCGCCAGCTACCCGTCAGCTCCCAACCCATCGCTTGGGTTTAATCTACGGACAGATTCACTTCTCGATTAGTCTACGCCCAGTGGTCTAGGTCGCATATTTTTCTTCTCAAACTTGAGAGAGGAGGGGGTGAACGAAAGGTAGCAGGCAATCACAAGTAACCCTGGTAGAAGTCCACGACGGCGTGAACCGGCGCAGGGGGATTTGATCCAGGGGGGGGGGGCCCCCCCCCCCGACGAACAGAATCAACTCTTACAGGACCAAATTCAATGCACAATCCCAACTCCTGATTGTAATACATTTTTGCTAAAGCAAGGAGAACTCAGGTAGCTCAAGCTACCTTTCGTGACAAATCATCCAGTTACAGTATCTTTTTTCTTCTTGACTAGAAACCCGTCTAAGCCACTCTGGAAAGGACAGAGAAGAGCTCTAAATGAATAAAGCAGAAGGCTATGTTCAGACCGTTTTGAGGTCTTTTCTTTCGTCTCAACCACGTGTTGTGGCTGACAAGAAGACTATATACATGCAGCCCGGCGGGGGGCAATGACTCGGCAATGACTATAGGCGCAGGCGTCTCAACCGCGATGAGTCTCGTCTCCGGTTTCGAAAGGTCGTAGAACGGACCGGGTGGTGGTGTTGGTAAAAGCCATGGTGCCATCGGCGGTTCGGCAAAACCATGCAAAATCCATGGGACATGAAAACGAAGGGTGGTCCAGGAATCCTATTGAAAAAAAGAAGGACGTGACGTCTGCTCCCTCGCGTTTTTCACCGCGAACATCCGCGAACATCGGCGATTATGTCTCCTCGCACCTGCTCCTGCTCCATCTGCTTCTCGTCTGCGATCATCTTCCGCAGCTGTGCAGCCTCTTCTTCCGATGACCGGTCACTAGAAGATACCGGAAGATGACTCAAGCGCGTCCAGAGTCCAGAAGATACTGCTCGGGGTCTCCAGGGACTGTCTCGGGTATTAAAAAAACAAGGTGCAAAACAGTTAAAGGATGCCGAAGGACACCAGCTACAACAGGGAAACAACCACTGAAGTGTGTGAAGTGTAGTGTTCACCGATGGTCCATGAATGGCTGAGCGGGTCAGGTTCTCCTAAAATCGGCTGAGCGCTTCAAGTTCTCCTAAACAACCTTTTTCAGCCACAGAGTTTCCTGTAGGTTTCGGGCCGTGTTAAGAAAACTGTTACATCACCATGAACAAATCGACAGTACACTTGACATCACTTGAGTATCTTGAGTCTACCAGGCACTAGGTCCGGCCTTTTTGGCCTAAGCATGCCTACTGTCTAAGCTCATTGCCCCCCCCCATGTCCCACCTGATGCTCTGCCTGTCGTTGCAGGGCTGTCATCCCTGACCAGCCGAGCCGGTGCTGATGGTCACTGAGCTGGGAAAGCAAGAGGTTCCTGTCTGACAGACTGGTGCAGCAAGTAACTCAATGAGGGGCTGCTCACCAATCGACATTCCCACTGGATTCATTCCTCATTCCGCATGCAACTTGCAGTCACAAACCGTTGGACTGGTTCACGCCGGTCCAGGTCAGTTGCCCTGCTCAGACCTTCAACCTCCAGAAGCACATCCTACAAGAATCCTTGAGAAACCATGGTCTAATCCAATAGCAAACGGCCTCAGAGGTGGACACGGCCTGTTGGCTGCGTCTCTATCTTTAACACGGCAGAAGAGAGGGCTCAGAATGGTTGCTTTTCTGTGTGCATGGCCCCCCAAAACGGCCATGACGTCGTCGTGCCTTTGACCCGCCGACGTCACGTTGGCCAGCATACTGTGTGGGCGACGATGTGCTGTGCGGAAGCGCTTGCGCGTCATGACTCAAGTCTCACCCCTCTAGCGGATGACTCCCAGTCGGGGTCGTTCATGAGTCACAACGGAAATTCCATGCACTTGAACCGACTGAACCTTGCATTCTGGGTTAGGTGGATACAATTTGAACGGGTTAGGTTCCTCTCGGGTTATAGGATGTTATAGGTTCAATTCGGCGGTTGGATGCAACTTGGACGTGATGAGAAGACCTTTGCCCTCAATTGACCTGCTTGCGGCCTCTTCTTTCCATGGTGGCTGCTGCTTTCAGCTTAGCTTGGAGGTGCTTCTCCTGAAACCGCAATCGGGCTGGGGCCTCGCTTTTGGGGGCCTGGGCTGGCGACGACTTTCAAAGACTCACCGAACAGCCATATGTTCACCTCACGAGCCAAGTTCCATCTAAGTTCTTGGAAGATCCATCTATCATCTGTCCATCTCTCTCTCTCTCTCTCTCTACCAGCTCCCTCCAACAGGTCCTAATTGAGACCTCTGAACGACGCTCCAACAAAACAACGTCTCCAAAAAGAGTCCGGAGTCTGGTAGACTCGAATCTGGAGTGGAGGCACCGGGCGCTGTTTCACCGCGCGACGGTGGCGCGCCCGTCCGGTCTCCACGGGTTCCACCGCACGGGCTCGGCCTCCGCCGACTGCGAGGCCTCCGCCGACTTGGCTTTGGCTTCCATGGCCTGGGCCTTGGACGACAACTCGGGGAACTCGGTGACCCTGAGACCGGGGTCAACTGCCAACGACCGGTGAAGATCCCAAGTGGAGGATGGAGTTTCAGCGGTTCCGTGGGTCTTGAAAGACTAGTGACATGGTTTGACCTTGGCCTCTGCATGGCCATGTCAAAACAAAGGACGAAACGATCCAGGTCTGAACCTTGAGAGAGAAGCACATGCTCACGGCTGCGGCAAGATCGTGGTGGAGCACCCAAATGCACCCAAAACAAACTCAACATGCTCACCAGATCGAACCCGTGACTTCTCTAGAGGAAAAGGCCGTTTCTCTCGTGTTTGCCCCTCGTTCAGCAAATCAAGTCATCTCCCGGGCGCCCCTTTCACCAAAGGCGGCCTCCTTCTCAACTCGTGACAGTTCTGCCTTCTTGCTGGTCAGCGCCTCGGGTGGAGGACGGTTCTGTTCCAAAGTCACCAGCCCAAGACCCGAAATCCCGAAGGATGGGACACCAACACCACCTCCACTTCATCCAGGAGCTGGCAGATCAAGATCGTGAAAGAACTAACTGGCTGACCAAACCCAAAAGACCCTTAAAAGTTCCCTTTCTCGTCAAGCTCCGCAGTCCTCATGAACAAGTTCACTATCGTTCACTGGTTTCCTCCACACAAACGCTGTTCACCCAGGGAGGAGAAAAGAAACCTGTGCTTGGCCCCACTGTGTCCCGCGCCTCCTCTTCACTGATCACCTCGCTCTGCAGCTTCTGCAGCTTGGCCTTGGCCACCTTCACCTTTTGCGAGGAGGCCTGACGAGCCAGTCGGTCTCCGCGCGGAGACCGGACGTGTCCAGCCAACTCTCGGCCGGAGCGCCGAGAGTTGGCTACAAGGTCTGATTTCCCGGAGAAAATAGAACATGGAGACTGTTGCAGAGTCTTGGTTAGTTAGTTACTTGATGTTGCTTGCATCTGCAGATTTCTAGAGTAAGCCTTCTACAGTGGTTTCAGAGTAGATGGTGGTTTATATGGACCCCCATCAGCTTTGGTCTCAAGCCTACCAGAGGCAAGCGGTGACGGCGGATTTGAGACGTTTCGTAAGCCATGGAGTTAGATCCGGTCATTTGGGCGCCTTTGACGGTGGAGCACATCGGGAAGGAAGTTTCGCTGAGGCTTCACAAGCGCAAAGATGATTGGGTGAACCCGCTGACTGGTCAGTGTTTTGACCCTATTGGATTGGGTGCTGCATGTGGCATTTGCATGGCCCTTCATTCCTGGCAGCTTGGTTCTCTTTCTTCTGAGGGGGTGTTTTCGCTCCTGGCGACCGATCTTTCGACTCAGGTCATCGAACCGCCATGCCTTTCGGATGATCTTTTTAGGCTCTCTGAGGTCTGTGCCGGATTAGGTGGTATCACTCAGGGAGGGTTCATGACAGGTATTCAGCCTCACGTTGCTCTGGAGATTTCGCCATTCACCTGTGCTCACTTGAGCGCCAACCACTATCCTAAGGTGCTGCAAGGAGACTTGGCATCTAAGGCTGATGTCGGCCGATTTCATCAAGCGATGGGAGGAGTTCGTTCGGGCTTGTGTGCAGGTTTTCCCTGCCAGCCTTTCAGTTCCATGGGGGCGCAGCTTCACTTCTCAGACCCCAGGGCCAGCGTGTTCTTTCGGGTACTGGATGCAGCGTACTTAGTGCAGAGTTCCTACCTGATTTTGGAGTGTGTTCCTGGTGTTCAGGGTCTGAGGCCTATCACCCAAGCACTTGATCGTTTTTGTGAAGTCATGTCTTTTCACTGGGCTGCTAAAGTTTTGCACTTAGGCAGGGCACTTCCATCCCGACGCACTAGATGGTGGCTTGTAGCCTTGCCAACAAGTCTGAACTTGCCGAAACTGAGTGACTTGCCATTGGCCTTGCATCGACAGACTCTAGGTCAGCTCGTGCGTCAATGGCCAACCTGGCCCAAGGAAGAAGAGCGAGAGCTGAAATTGACTCAGAGTGAACTTGACATGTATCAGGATCCAGCATACGGTGTTCTGCCCAGACTCTTGGACATGAATGGGGTGGCCCCAACGTTGCTTCACTCAGCAGGCCATCACTTGGTTGATTGCCCTTGTGGCTGCAGGGGGCCCATCAGTGATGTGACATTGCGGGCTCGTGGGTGGCAGGCCATAGTCGTGAACTCGAACTACTCGGACATTGCGCTTAGGCATGTGCACCACAATGAGGCTGCCTTTCTAGTTGGGGCCCCTTTTGGGTTAGTTGCTTTGGGGGAACGGAAAGCCTTGCTGCCGCTTTTAGGCCAAATTGCATCACCAATCCAGGCTCATTGGATTCTGGCGCAAGTGTTAGATGCCAACGGCATGTTGGGTGACCGGACTTTGTTTGATGCACATGAGAGAGTGATGAATCACCATGTCCAAGAGCATTTGCGGCGTTGGCCAACCAGAGCGAACCAGATTCCGAGACAGATTTCCATTGTTTTTGAGCGTGATCCGGTTCTTCACGTGACTGTTCATGAGTCAGTTTCTGTCAGAGCCCTGCTTGAAGCAACTGGACATCACATTGGTGCAGTCCTCGAGCTCCGACCCAATGATGCTGCTTGGCTGCATCCGCAGGGATATGTGCCACCAGGGCCACTGAGCATTGCGGTGCGCATGATTGGGCAAGGCAAACGACCTTTCTCTTTGGCAATGGACGATCCTGCTGTCATAGTGCCTAGAGATGGTCTTGATGACTACACTATTCACCATCAGGCCATGAGACTCTTTGCAAAAGCTGGTCGGGATGATTTTGTTTTCTTCACGCCACGCTTTGTAGCTCATCTCTTAGAGGTTTGGTCGCACTTTGCTCAGCAAGAGATTCTCAGAGTTCTCAATGGCAAGACTACTGCCATTGGGGTTTTGTGGGATTGTGGTCACTGGATTGCATTCAGGGTTGAAAAGCATGGTTCCCAACTGGAAGCCACTTCCTTTGATGGAGTCACCATGGAAGCGACCGCTGACATGGCCATTCTGTTTCAGCGATTTCAGTATGCCTTCAACTGTCAGGACATGTGCATTCGCTCAGACCGCATAGTGAAAAACTGGGGGCACCCATTGTGGTGCAATCGCCTTGTTGCATGTTGGTTTTTGCTTGGGTCTCTGGGACTCATGTGATGAACCCACGGCGCAGCTTTGGAATGAGGTTTTGTTGGAAAGGCAGCTCAGGAGAGCAGGTGCTCCGTCGAAAACTGAGGCCATTCAGACTTGGCTGGAAACCTTTTTGCCAACCAAGGGTGTGCCTGTTGAAGCAGCCAAAGCTAGGGCGCAGGCTGCCATCAAGAAACTGGGTGTTGAAGCCTTAGATGCGGCCATTTCATCGGCTGATCCATGGAGGGGTTTGAAGCAAGCTGGTGGTGCCCTCAGCAAGCCTTTCCAATGGGTTCAATACACAGAATTGCAGCAGCACATCGCACAAAGGAGTGAGACTCGCCATGGAGCCTCCAACAAGCCTGACAAACTGGGCAATCGTGGTAAGCGGGTGGAATTGCCTCTCAACATCACCCCCGAAAACCTTGAGCTTTTGCCCAACTGCTTTTTTGATGCCATGGACGAGCCTTTAGGCATGATCACCATGCAGAATCTTCGCCCTGATCAGAGGGGACTTGCCATTGCCACTGAAGAACAGGCCGTTACCTTTCTCAAGGATAGTAGAAACATCAGCACTGATGCCTTTGGCTTGTTGACCATAGGAGAACTTGCCAATTCGGACTCAGATTCCCGAGTGGAACACTTGCATTGGACGGCTTTGTACCGTCCCACGCAAGAGCCAGTTATCATTCGTGGTTCCCTGATCAACTTAGGTGATGTCAGCATTGAGAAAAAGGCACCTGCTAAGGCACAAACCATGCCCAAGATCGATACTGAGGTCTTACGCATTCAGGTTTTTGCAGACATGGCGGACACTTGGCCCGAATTTTTGAGAGGCCCTGTTAAGCAGATCATTTCACAAGTGTCTGCTTTGCGCTTTTGTCGGGAGCCCTCATGTGATGGCAAGTGCGGCTTGTTTCATCCAGCGGTGGATGAAAAAGTTCAGCACGTGGTCCTGGATGCATGGGCCTGGAAGTGGCTCAGTGCAGATGGCAAAAAGACCTCCAGCCATCTAGCGCAGATTTTTTCGGTGTACATGCGAGTGCCGGCTTCGGCGCTCACACAGATTCTCACGCACTCAGGTGACTTTGGCATTTTCATCGAGCCTCGGCCGGATTCGACGAGTGGTAGCCATCCTTCTTTTTGTGTTGTATGGCTCAATCGTTCGGCCACTCCCTCAGATGCCTTGCATTACAAGCGCACACAGGAGTTTGTACTGGGTCTTGCACGCCTGGGCAACAAGCTCGGGCTACGAGCACTCTGCAAGCATGAGTCTGCTTTGCTTAAGGTCGTATATCCAGATCGGGCTTTCACAGCATGTCAGGTTCGCTTCATCTACGAGATGGGACCTGTGCCGCATGGGCTCAGCCGTGACCAACTCAATCAGATCCTGAAGGACTGGGGATGGGTGGCTCGGCCGCTCAAGGTGTTTCGATCTACGGCTGATGGTAAGTTCTGGGATATAGGCACCTCCACTGCACCTCCGGCTCCAGTTTTGGAGACGGAGCATGGTGACCTCACGGTGGCAAAGAAGAGAGATGCTGAGAAGTCTGCCAAGACAGCCCCCATAGTGTCGGCTCCGATGCGTACTTCTGCGCATCTGAAGGCAAACACGGCTGGCAAAGCTAAGGCCTTGGGCTCAGAGGACATTTGGATGACAACTGAGGATCCGTGGGCTAGCTACAAGGCAGCGCAAGCTTCGTCAGTGCCAAAGATGAGATCGTTTTCACCCACAACAGGGGATCTGCCTCTGCCCCCAGCCAACGACTGGGTGACTTGGAGGCCAGGCTCAAGCAGGAGATGAAGCAGCAGATTCAGGATCTTGCTCAAAAGGGGACTTCGGCCTCCAGTGGCCTTTCTCCTGACACAACTGCTTTGAGGACTGATGTGGACGAGCTCAAGGCTCAGCAAACCAAGATGGCAGGTATGATTCAGGATTCGGCAGCAAAAGTTCAGCAGCTGCATCAGCATGCTGCGGAGCAAGCTAAGCAAATCCAACAGCTGGGTGATAGCTTCACGCTGCAAGTTCGTGCTCATGATGGGCAAATTCGTCAGCTAGGAGAAGCCATTCAGACTCAGGCCACTGCCACGGATGCTGTGACGAAGGAGGTCACTTCGCTCAAGGCCTCGCTTGCTGATCAGCTTACCGCAGCCATGGACTCGCAGACCAATCGCCTGGAAGCGCTCTTGGAAAAGCGCAGCAGAACTTCGTGACTAGCGCGGCAAGGGAAAGCGTGCTACCATAGCTTTCCTAGAGCCGGCATCTTTGCTTGGTATGTCTTTGCTTTCTTTGGCTTCCTGCTCCGCATTGGGGAGGCGGCGCTTCCGGGGCCAATGGATGACTCTTGTTTTGTGCTAGGAACGGCCAACATGGCTGGCGCTGCGCATCGACAGGACTGCTTCTTTGACCTTCCGCAAGGTTGTTGGGGCTTCACGGAAACGCATCTCACAGACTCGGGTTTCAAACTTTTTGCCACTTCGCTTCAAGCGCGAGGCAGATCTGAGGGGAGACAGATTCGCGCAGTGGCGGGGGCACCAGCACCTCCGAGAGTTCCTGACTCGGACTCTGGCACTTTCACAGGAGTTGCCACAATCTCAGACTTTGCTCTTCGGCCCGTTCACGTTCCTTGGCCTGGGGCGACCTTTGTTTCTGGTCGCATTCACATGACTGCTACTTTTTTGCCCACCTGCCATTTGTTGGGGGCGGTGGTCTATGGAGCTGCGCAGGGTCCGACCTACAAGGACCCGCTCAAAATCACTGCAGATCTGCTGGATGTTGCCACACAAGAGCTTGTGGACCACTCAAGAGGTCTCAGATACATCCAAGGCGATTTCAACATCGCGGAAACCGATTTGCCGCACTTCGCATACTGGCGATCCAAAGGTTGGAAGGAAATACAACTGCTGCAGCAGGCTATCACTGGCCGCACTCCTCAGCCAACCTGCAAAGGGGCGACTATTCGGGACTACATTTGGGTGAGCCCAGAGCTGGCAGAGCTTTTTCTGGAAATGGAGCAATGGGACTTTGTTTTTCCGGATCACTCAGTGCTTTTTGCACGATTTCGCTGTCAGCTCCCGCTTAGGCAAGCCTTTCGATGGCACTTCCCAGGCTCATTGCCATGGGATCAAATTCGCAAGCAGTCATGGGAGGCTTCTTTGACCAGTACTCATGCAGCTTTCTGTTGGACTGAGGACACCACTAAGGGTTTTGCTAACTGGAGCCATGGTTTTGAGCGTTCGTTGCAAGGGGTTTGTAGCTGCTGACAATGGACGGCTGCCATTCGGCTGTCAGGGTAGAGGACAAAAGAATTGTTTGAAGAAGATGGTTCATTTTCAAGCTGTTTGCAAGCCCAGTCGGCCAGGGGAAGTGAAGCGTGATTCTGCATTGGGACCGCAGGTTCTTCACAAATGGTTTAAACAACTACGTAGGCTGCAGGCCCTCCGGTTCAATACTACAGCTGGAAGCGAGACCCCTGGTGCCATTGCCTTTAGGGCTCAGTGTTGGCAAGCAATACTCACTAGCTCAGGGTTCAAGCCTTCTTTTATGGACTGGTGGCCTTCTAGGCTGATTCAGCTGCAGGGAGCTCCGAGCTACCTGCCTTTCTTTTGTCCGGATCCTTCCACAGTGTCACTCATCTTTCAGGATTTTCATGCTAATTTTGTGAGTTTTGAGCGCTGGACGATCCGTCATAAAGCAAAGCTTACGCAGCTTCGCAAAGAGACGGAGATGAAACAGTTGTTTAAAGCTCTTCGACCAGAGCAAAAGGGGGCTCTTGACACACTGCAACTTGAGCGCTCCGCTACCATCAGTTGTGTAGATGTCAAGCACAATTTTGATACTTTGGACAATCCCAACTTTTCACACTCCACTGAGATTAGACATCAGGGACATATGGCCTTTTTGCAGCCGATCCTTGTTGAAGAAGAGGAATCATTCACGGAATGTTTGCGGCTGCACTCTGGCATTCTTCCGGTGCCCGGGCAAGTTTTGTCCAGCTGCACCACATTGACTGCCTTTCCTGACATTGAGAAGGAACTGCACAAATTGTGGAAGCCGAGATGGCAGGCGGAAACTACGGTGCCAGCTGATGCTTGGCGTCGCATTCTTGCCTTCTCGCAAGCTCACTTGCCCAAGTTGGAATTGACAGTCCCTCGACTTTGCAAGTCTGACTTCTTACAGCTGTTTCGTGACAGCACAGGGTTGCGAACGACGGGACCGGATGGATGGTCCAAGGCGGACATTCAGCACTTGCCTGACTGTCTGTTTCAGGATGTCATTTGTCTCTTGGAGCGCATTGAAGTTGGAGAGCCCTGGCCTGCCCAGCTTGTCAAAGGGCTGGTCACGTGCCTTGAGAAAGTGCCAGATGCCAAAGCAGCCTCTCAGTTTAGGCCGATCACCCTGTTCTCCTTGTGGTACAGATTGTGGGGATCCCTACGATCACGCGCTCTGCTTAGCAGTCTTGAGAAGCATGCGGCCTTCCATGCCTATGGCTACTTACGTGGACGCAGCTGCCAGCAGATGACCTTCTTCATCCAAGCTGCAGTAGAACATGCGCTGCGAACTGGGGTTGATCTTTGTGGCGTTCTTGCTGACATAGAAAAGTGCTTCAACTTTTTGCCAAGGGCTCCGATCTTTTCGATGGCTCGGCGAATGGGTTTTCCTTCGAATGTCCTCACGGCATGGAGCAGTTTCTTGAGGCAGATGGTCCGAGCCTTTCGTGTGCAAGGCGAGATTGGCACTTTTTTGGATTCGGACACAGGTTTTCCAGAGGGAGACTCCATGTCCTGCCTGGCCATGTGCATTGCCAGTTTTTCGTATCATCACTATATGCTTCACTTTCAGCCTGGCGTCACAGCCTTCAGCTTCGTTGACAACCTCGAAGTCTCGGCCACTTCTTTGACAGACCTTCTGCCAGGACACGTGGCAATGGAGTGTTGGGCAGACTTGCTTAGGCTACGTCTCGATTCACAGAAGACCAAGTTTTGGGCCACAAGTGCAGATACAAGAGCTCATCTGCGCGCACTTGGTTTTCACGTTGCAGATGCATGCATGGACTTGGGTACCTCCATGACCTACACTGCCTCGCATCGCAACTCTGCCATGCAACAGCGCATATTGGCGGTCAAGCCACTTTGGTCCAAGCTTCGGAAACTGCGAGTGTCCTTCTGGCACAAGTTGTTAGTTGTGCGAATGGCTTTGTTGCCTCGAGCTCTACATGACACAGCATTGATAGTCGTTGGCAAGCACTGGCTTGATAAGCTGCGCTCAGGAGTCATGAAGGCACTTGGATGCAATCGCTCGGGCGCCAGCCCTGCCCTGAGGCTCTCGGTCCTCTGTCCTTCGAATGTGGATCCTTGGTACTTTGATGCTTTTCACACTTTGTTTGATTGTCACCGTCACTTTCAGCAGAGTATGCAACTGTGCCGATGGTGGAGAGCTTACATGGCTGCTCCTACACAGCAGCGCACTTATGGCCCGTTTGCCAAGCTGACCACGCTTTTGGCTGACTTGGGGTGGTTTCTTTCCATGGACTTGCAGCTGCAGCTCGGTCCTACCTTCACGGTTCCCTTTCTGGAGTTGGATAGGTGTATTTTGGAGCAGTTTTTCCAGCATGCATGGGGTTTTGTGATTTCCAGACAGGTTCGACATCGCAGCACCATGCCGTCTCTGCACGGGATAGACTGGACCAACACCAATCGCCTGAGTTCGGCTCTCGATCGTGTTGACTCTGCCCTCCTGCACTGTGTGCAGGACGGAACCGGTTTTTTGGAAAGCACTAAGGCCAAGTTTGACCACACACACTCAGGTCAGTGCTTATTTTGCAGTGCTGAGGACTCCCTTGAGCATCGGGCCCTGCACTGTCCGCACTTTAGCCAAATCCGCAGCCTCTTTCCTGAGGTCCTAGCCGCCTGGCATGAACTGCCCAAGCATCTTACGCACCATGGTTTGGTTTCTGCTAACCCGCACTTCCTTCAGTGGTGGGAAGCGCAGCATCGACTTCCGGCCTCCTTCGATGACTGGGCTGCCTGGCCCGTAGACTCAGGTATTCAGCATGTTTTTGTTGACGGTTCCTGTGACTTGCCGCTGCAGCCGCATTGTGCCTTGGCAGGTTGGAGTTGTTACTTAGCCAATTCTGAGGAGCCTCTCGCTTCAGGTTTGCTACCCCTTGCTCACCCGACGAGTGATCGGGCAGAAGTGTGGGCGATACTCATGGTTCTGGACTGGACAGCGGCCGTGCACTGTCAGGTGCACATTTACACTGACAGCCAGTACGCTTATGATGGCTTTGTGCACATCATGCGTCAAGGCTTTGTGCCACTGGAATGGTCCAACCAACTGCTTTGGCGGCGAGTTCAGTGCAGCTGGGAACGACTGTCCAGCCCGGTGTTGCTGACCAAAGTGAGAGCTCACAGGTCATTGACTGAATCCACTACTGAACATGAAGCATGGCTCATTCGCGGCAATGCTATTGCTGACAGCATGGCCAAGACTGCGGTGCAAACTGAAGGGACTAGTTCTTTCCGGGTGGCTATGCAAAAAGCTAGAGACCACGACCGAACAAGTGCATCTCTTGCGAAGAGACATCAGAGATTCCTGCTGAGTCTTGCCAAGCGTAGCTTGCTGCCTTGCCAAGGCGCTGAGGATCCGGTAGTCGGTCTATGGCCTCGAATGTGCGTGCTTTTTCTGTTTTGTTGAAAGAAACTGCTGAAGCCTGCAATCTGGAACTCCGATGGGGTAAGGTACCGCGCCCTGAAGTTGCTATCCTCATGTCACTTCCTGCGGTCAAGTTTCCTTGGCCGGCTTCTGTTGCCGAGAAAGTTTCCTCTTTTCTTTGGCGTTTTTTGCACGGGCGGCCGTTGAGGGCAGCACGTGACTTGGCACGGTCCTTTTGAGTGACAGTGCACCTGTTTAGTTGCTTGCCGCATCGCACAACGCTATGCGCAGCTCGCCAAGACTCGTTGGCAAGGCGGAATATATGGACCCCCATCTAAAGACATGTGGGGGTTTGTGCAATCTTCTCTGAAACCACTGCAAGCATCGATGGACTCGGATGGTTTGGGGATGGGAAGTTGATGATCCCAGATTATCGGCAAGGGAGCAGAATCTACTTTTGTGGCGACATCCTCGATCTGAGATACCGTATCGTCAAAGATAAATGTTCGCACGATCCTCCAAAAGACGCCAAGAAAAGCGCCAGGCCGCCAGGCCTGTCTCTGCTTTTCCAGGCTGACCTCTAAATCGCTCACTTTTCCATGGTATTCTTCCACCTTTTGGTCTTCCTCCTGGACAAGTCGAGCGCAAATCGACGGGTGAAAACACTGGGTCCAAGCCGGGTTGTGCACGGACGAGTGGAAGGAAGTTCCGAGGGGCGCGAGGCCTTCTACCGATCTACCTGAGTGACCTATTTGTACCACCACCCAAAATACTGCCTTTTCCTATCAAAACAAAGGTCAACTGGATTCCAGTGCACTCTAGGATCATAAGTCATAAATAGACAACAATTAAACTAATATTAAATAACTCCATATGCAAAATCAAATTCAAATCCATCAAATCCTAAGCTCCAGATCAACTTCATGGGCCGACCATGTAAACCTTTCCAAAATGGTTTCTCGCCCCCCCAAAAAAGCATGTCTTGCTTTTTGTGGTCTGGCTAGGTTCTACCCCATCCCCCACTCTCCTAGATTCACCATATTCACATACTTCCCCGGCCACACTGCGCCTCCTTGGTGCGTCGGAGCTCTTCCCGGAGCTCCTCCTCCTTCTGGGCCGCCAGCGCAGCCTCCACCCCAACCATCGGCCCCGCGACCGTCAGGTCACCGAGCGGTTCACCTCAGAAACACCCACCAACACAGACAGTAAAAGTGGGGCCCTGGACTTGATCAGAGACAAATGGCTTCTTCGGGCTTGAGGTGTCTTTTCTCCAACTGGCCTGGCTCGCCCAACTCCAAACTCCAAACGAATTGATTCTCCCTGGCCAACTCAGCCAGCCTCTTCGTTGGAGATGTCCTTCTCGTGCTTCAGCTCCTTCTCCAATTGCGCGACCTGACGATTGCTCGACACGGAATCGGTCGCATGGTATGTGAGGAAGCGGTCGCATCGGCCAGCCAGCGAGCATGGGCTGGGCCCTGAACTCACAAGTGAGAAGCCATGAGAAGCCTAAGGGCCAAGGAAACGTTGGCATCTCTGGGTGGATTTAAGAACAAAGATCATACTGTCATACAGAATCGTGGAAAACTCGTTGACAAACAATACAATGATACAATAATGATTGCCCGTTGAATCCTTGTGAATCCATCTTGCCTACAGGCTCGAAAAGAATCAAGCCCGATGAAATTCAGCAAAGCTGTTCCACACAGCTTCACCAAGAATAACGACCGCAAAACTTCAAGAACCACCACCACGACCTTCATGTCGGAAAGCCCACTCAATGTCGGCTGGTCTACCGAAAACTCGAAGCCAGACCCGTGGACTCCAACCACGGACTCCAACCGCGCCTTCTCCATCACTCGACCCCTCTCGATCTTGACCTCGGGTTTCGCGAGGTCGGTCGAGGCCGTCCGGAGAAACGGGTGGAGGAATCGATTCGGCCGGGTTGGGCACCTGATGTCCGATCTTCTCTTCCTGTTCTTTGACCTGGCGAGTTCGAGTTGAATCGGAGTTCGAGAGGGAGACAACAGGGGATTGGAACATGATGACGGCCAACAAGGAGAAACCAGGGGAATACATGATAGGAGATATCTCGATGTTGCAAACCATTACAAGCCTATATACTCGTGAACGATTCAATATGACTATTATGTGTGTGCATATATATATATATATATATATACATCGAATATATAATGAATGTCGTGCTGAGAAACACATCTTCAACATATTATGAGGAAACCATCAATGCCACTTTTCTTTCGGCTGGCCCTCCCATGAGGCTTTCGGCACCTCCTTTGCATGCTTCTTCTGCATGAGCTTCACCTGGATTGGCGAGCGCTTTTTCACCATGCTTCGCAGGTACACCGTGGACCCCACCGGTGTTGGATCGAAGTAGTGCCTATACTTACTAAAGTCCCCCCAATCCGAACCATCCGAAGTGTTTCAATCACCGAAAGGGGTGTGTTCTTCGAAGCAGAAGTTAACTGAAAACGACACCCGTTGCGAAGCAGAAATCTATTGGCTCTGCTTGTACCCCTGGGCCCGATTTTCAGTGTCTCAATTGCAATTTTTTCGGGTCGACCACGGTCGCTGGCCACGAAATGGTCCGAAACGGCTGTCGTTGGTTTCATGCAGAGACCCTTGTCCATGGTGCACTGATCTCGCTTGCTCTCTTAGCCTTTCTTTGACATGCATACAACGGCCTGCATAAGCTACAACTGCCCTGCCTAAGCTTGCAACTCTAGTACAGTTCTTATGGAACCTTGGCTGGACAGCCATCCCAGCTGCAGTGGATGTAGGTGGTCTTAAGGAACCTTGTCTTTGCCAACCGATGTCGCATTTCTTTTTCACATGAGTGTCCAGTGCAAACATCTTGAAGCACTAACATGGCGAAAGTCATGTAAAATGATTGAATTCATATGAATTCATCATTTGTCCTGGCTCCAAGATAGTCATTTGACTTCATCATTTCCTGTCAAATGGTCAGGTCCAGCTCTTGCCTGCTCGTCAAAGGCCTTCTGGGCTTTCTCGCCCTGGTCAGCGGGTTATATAAACTTGAACCGACTTCAGCTTAGGAACGTATTGGGATGGGTAGAGCCTTGGCAGGTACTGAGATCGAGGTCTAGTAATTAAAGAAAGAATTTAAACACCCGTCCCGGGTCCCTTCTCCCTTCCGACGTAGGATCTTGTGGACCAATCTGGGGGCCACTTTCGCAGCTCAGCCAGCTTCAATAGATCCTCAGGCACCAGGTTCCTACTAACGCCGCGGCGTACCCCGAACAGCTACTCGGCGGCCTCCTCCTTCAGCTGCTTCTTCACTTCTTGAAGCTGCAAGGACTCCTCCGTCGCCTCTTTCAGCGAGAACATCACGAGACCAACGAGGCCTTTCTTTTCGGTGGGAACGAGACCAACATGCCCGACAGTGGAGGGGGGTTCCAAAGATAACCACATGGTAATATCTGGGCGTGTCGGTTCCTTAGGTTTTGGGCCAAGAGATCATTTTTGCTTTGTATCGAGAATATAATATGTGCCGCAGCACTTTTGAACCCTACAAGGATCAAACATGCACTTTTCTAGGCCATTCTGGTGGTGAAGGCAATGTGGCCTCAAAAAGAAAATGAAAGAAGATTAGGCCGGATGTGGACGGCCCGTTCGTCCATCCACCACATCTGATCAGCTCACCCACATGGGAAGGAGGCACACTCAACAAGCTTGAGTCTCAGGCACGAGTCAAGAAAATGGAAGACTACACACCCAAAGGATCTGAAGAAGAAACAACACCAAGAGAACATCAAGAAACAAGCACCGAACTTTTGTGCAACATGGGTGCCATTTGAACCCGCTTCGAACTGACCTTCATCGGTCTGGTAAAAATAAATAAAGGTTGGGGCCATTGAACATCTTGGAGGTTGGGGGGCCGTGCTGAACCATGCTGAAAGAGAAAACAACCTTCATCAGCGGGACGTCATATGACGTCCTATGACGTCAGGCGTGTGACCAGGCGCGACCAGGCGCCCCAGGGCGAAACCAGGCGACTTCGGCTGCTGGAGTCCAAGCAACACTAAGGAACAACGAAACGGCTACAGTAGGGGCGGGCTCCTGGCATCACTACGAACGGAGCATTCTTACTACGAACGGAACCAGGTTCGCTACTACTGGCAGTAGGTGTCCCCGTCCTTTCCGTTACGTCGATATCGGAAGGCCTTCTTCTCAGCCTTCTTCTCCTCAGCTTCCAGCTGCTGCTGGGCGGAAAGCTCCTGTGCTGAACTCTACGGCACGGACGTGGGCTGAAGTGAGCCGCAAACTGCTGTGCCGCCGCTCTGGCCGGGGGTCTCTGTAGAATTGCACAGACAAATACATGTCACATGAGATACGACCAGTACATGAGGTTTTGTTAAAGGAAAAGAACACTCTATTGTTCCTGATCCAATACTCCTGATGTTACTGTTGTTGTTCTTTCTTATCGGTTTAATTTTACTGTGCTTTGGCATGCTTTGACTAACTGCAACATGAATGTGTATAGTATACAGTGCACTGCATGCGGTGCACGGAACCTGGCAGACATCAAGACATGAGCACAATTCATTCCAATTCCATGCGTTCGAAGACCGTGCCCATTCGCAGACCTCACAAAACATCATTCCCTCCATTCTTACAGTGAATGGAGATCACATGTGTGGGCCCTTTACGGGAAGGTGTATTAGGCTTGCTGCAGCAGTCTTTTTTGTCGTTTTGTGCTCGTTGCCTGGTGTTTGCAAACCTGGCAAAGGTTTGAGTGTTTGGTCCGCACTCAACACACTGAACCCGGCTATTGGGGGCGATGATCGTTGTACAGGGGCATCTGCCCATGCGAAGACGGCAAAACGGACATGCAAAGAATACTTTCTTACATGGGGGGCGTTGTACCTTCTCACAGAACGTGCAGAGAGAAGGAATCGGAGAAACATGCACAGACATGCGCTAAATCCCATGGCGTGGCCGGGTCGGATTGGAACAGAAGCTCCTGGAGTTTGGCTTTCTTCTCTTCCTTCTCCAAGAGCTTCTTCGCCGCCAATGCCTTTCGCTGCAGCTTTCGGTAGCGGCCCTCCAGGCTGTTCATGGCCTGGAACGTCTCGACGTGGCGCAAAACGATTCACATCGACTCACATGGCGACGTCCCAAGAAAGCAGTGGTACACGAAGACTAACTCAGGTTCCATGTCGGTGATTCAGGCAACTCCTACCAGCTCCAACATCCAAAAACACATCCACTGGCAAAACTGATTCCAATCCCAGTTACAGTGCGTAGGACGTTGACCGGTTTACCCGTTTGAACCCCTTCGTCCCCGACGGATCAGTCACATCCGGCCTGGTCCTTGCCGGTCAACATGGCCGTCAAGTTTTGGACCTGTGCGGCGATCAGGTCCGGTCAGGTCATGGCGATGGATTCAAAGAGGAGTAAGTTCACCCCCACAAGTCCCACAAGAGAGAATGGTCTGGTCATTTGAATAGCTTCTTTGATATTTCAACTGAAATTGCTCTCTTTGGGGGTTTGGGACGGTTAGGAGCTGGCTGATGATTGGAAGCATTGAACACTTGAGAATTCAAGAGGGAAAAGTATTTAAACATATGTAAAGCATCTCTTGGACTACATCAGCTCATGATTGCACTTGACCAAATAAAGCTCGCATCTATCCCATGTATCCCCGTGTCCCCGTGTATATAGTAGGAAACTAGGCAAACCAACCGCCGGCGAGCTCCAAGAAGTTGAGTTTGTCATGGATCCTATGTCAACATGTCTCAACAAAACGTTGTTCGGGCACCCAATGCCACCCATGTTTCAGGTTCGAGTCGCCAACATCGGTGGCAGATTACAGGGGCCCCTGGTTCGGGGCCGGGTTTTCGACTTTGAGAGTCTCAAAGGGTTTCTCCATGAGCTTCATGCAATTGTGTCTTCCTCCCGGAGTAGAGTGTGCTTTATTGGAACATGGCTGAAGACTGCTCCAACCACCACCGCAGCAATCTTTGGCAGTTCCATGTTTTTTCGTATTTTATGTAGTCGAAAACTCATGAATCATCACCCAGCCCCGAGCACAAGTTACCTGCTGGTCCCGCAGTTCCTTCTCTTTCAGTTCCTGCCCGCGGGTGCTTCAAAACTGCTGGGCCGTTCGAACTGAAGGCCAGTCACGGGGATCATCCAAACACAAAATGTTGACAACACAACCATCTCGCGGAATCTTCTGTGTTCCTTGCGAGAACAAAAAACGCAAAGCATTGCCCGCCGTTTGGAGTGTACAAGAAAAGATGTCGAAATTAATTGCCCATGTTGAAATTATTGATGTTTGTCTACTGTCCTCCTTGCCTTTTGCTTTCCCTGTGCGGTTCTCTTTGCGTCCCTTTTTCTTTAGGACATGCGATACACAGATTGGGTGCTATGATTCTTGACCCCAGGCACTGCAACCTGCCACATCTCATTCTCTTCCTCTCTTCTCTTCTCTTCCCTTCTCTTATCTTTTCTCTTTTCTCGTTTCTCCTTTCTCTTCTCTTCTTTTCTCTCTTGAGAGCCATGCACGAGCCCAAACTTTCCCTTTACAGTGTCCGCGCCTCAACAAAGGATTAATAAAGCACCAATGTGAGCTTCCTTGCGATGAAGGATAAAATAAGTACAAACCAGCCTCGGCAATATACATCCCACCCCACTATAATACATTATTTTATAATATTTTATATAATACATGATCCACCATGCCCCAGCTGTGGCGGAGGCATGTCTTCTCCGCCTGGCGATACTTCAGCTGCTCATTCTGCACCGCCTTCTCCATCGACTTCGCCTGACGCCGGCGCCGGCGCCAGCGCGCGACGCAACGGGATCCCCATGGCGCGGCTCCGTGGGATTGGGCGGTGTGCGGCTCCGTTGCACGGCCTTCTGCTTCTCTTGGAAGATCTGGACGTTCAACTTGGTGATCTCCTGCAGGTTTTGTTCAGCTGCGACGACGTGGCGAACAGGTGGTGCCTATAGCTGAAGCTGAACATGTCACTGTGGGAATGTACAAATGCCAAGCAAGAAGTCCTCAGCAGTCACCACTTGTTGGCCTGCCCAAAGAGCCCACACCAACACGGAGGTATCAACACCTAGAACACAAAACACAACTCCTGTTTTGGTAATTAGAAAAGAACAGAAAGAATCCCTGTTTGGACTCAACGGATGCCGCTCCAGGCGTCCGCGTCGTAGCGCGTTTCCCACGTCGTCGCTCCTGCTTCACCTGGTGGAGTTCATTCTCGGCCTCTTCCACTTCACTGCCAATCGCCTTGGCCTCCGTCTCCTGTCGCAGACACCGCAGTGTGACTTGTGTGACTTCTCCGGTGGGCGCGATGAGAAGGGGGGAAAGCGGAGGAAAGACGGGGAGAATGGACCGGCCGGAGGAAGACGGTGTTTTCACACGATCGGCCAAAGGGGACCACGATCGATGCGCAGATGCTCCAAACAAGTCCTCAAGAATTGAACCTGGTAGGACCTACCTGGACCGTCCAAGGGGTGCCCTGTCTGGAAGCCTAGGCCGGTAGTGTGGGGTAGTCCAACCAGGACACCCTGACAGGATGGTAGGACCTAGATAGTTGTGGGTTAAAACCAGGGCCATCTAGGGGCCACAGGATCGATTCACCATTATGAGGAAGAAGACCGAATCGGTGTCTGTCGGCCCCCGGTTCCTGGAAGCCTGTCAGGGCAAAGGCGGGGCTATTCCATGACCATGCCCAATAGGTTCCTATAACCACAGATCCTTTCATTTGGCAGTGGCTTGAGCCACCAGGATGGCTTGCTTGCACCTGGAAGGTCAAGCGACATGGTGGACCAGCATGGACTCAGGTTTTTAGACCCCAATACTCTCCCTCAAATTCACATGGTTACGTGGAGTTCATCACCTGTTTGGTTCGTGGAATTCATGGTGCGAACTCGGGGCCAGGCCATCGCTGCGCCTCATTCTTGGCGCGCTGCTCCTCCTTCTGCCGCTCTGCTGCGACCTTGGCCACCTGGCGCGCCAGTGTCCCCGTGGCGCCGTGGCGCAGGTCGGGCGAGTTCAGAGAAGAACATGTTCCATACATACACCCCCCTTCCTCCCTATCAAAACGTATGGAACATGTAGCTTGCATTCTCTCAAGTCCCCCTGATATATATATATATATATAATATACTGAAAATTTGTAGTAGAGATAGGGGGTGCGGATGGAAGAACCACAGGTGACATAGTAAGTGCTGGCAAAGTATTTTTGAAGGTGCCATGCAAGGAGGTGTTTGACTAGCGAGTCTTCATACAGCTTGTCGGTGAATCCAAGGGGTTGTCAACTAAGATATGAAACAACCTACGAGGTTGGAGGTATGTCCTTCTGCATCAATGACTTCATGAGCTTGTCCAAGCTTACTATGAGGTTGCACTCGAGGCCCTCCGATCGTGAGAGAGAGAGAGAGAGCGCTGTCGCACTTTAGAGTCTTCTCAGTTTTTGAGATGGTGAGGGCGACGAAGACTTCTCGCTCTTATCCTGTTCTAATCGAATCGATATGAATCGATACGCATGAGTCGCTACAACATCTACAACTCTCCTGCTTCAGGCAGCTTTGGCCCAAAGCTAAAGGTTGCTGCTTGCTGCAGACTTGCCAGGAGAGCCGGGTGCAACTTTGGCACTGGCATCACTTGGACACCTTCGCTCTCTTTGGCTCAAACCTGAGAAAGGCGCACAAAGCTCGGAAACACACTCCTTCAAATTTGGGGACTCCCCACCAGTATCCACCATGTGTTTCTCATTTGCTCCTCCCAAACTGCATCATACAGCCATCCCCTGCTCATTTGCTCTTGGCTAGAACAAGGGGCGGGCATGGCAAATGGCAGCCGCCTCCAAGGGGATAATCCCCGAAAGGTCTTGTCGTTTCAAACAGATAGGGAGAGTCAAGTAAGGACTCGAAGCAAGCATATGCCTCGAATCAAGCTTTCAGAGGACCACTTATAGTATAGCTATAGTTTAGTATAGTTGATACCTTTCCGTTCCGTGACCGAGCCAACCGCCTCCAGTCAATCCCAGTGATACAGACCCGGTCGACCTGAGGTACCTCTGGACCGACCCGTTCGCAGGGTTGGTGCATTTGAACGTGCCCTGTCCGCGTGCGTTTGGGAGGTCAGGATTCCTCGCGTGCGGCCTCGAAACTGGGAGATGGTTGGGCAAGTTCCATCACACCCCACAAAAGACCCACGAGGCCTCCCACCTGCTTCCAAAGTTCTGGAACAATTGCTGGGGTCGAATCAATTTGGCTCGAATGGCGTTGGTAGGGATACTAATCTTTAATGATCTAGAACCTCTCTTCCAACATCTGCGAAACTCGAATCCCTAAGCCAAGCACCACAAACCCAGGCCGCGAGTCAGCCATGGACTCACGGACCGTCGCTCCAGGTGGCCACCAATTGATCGCGTGGCCGTCGCTCAGGGCTTCGCTCTGGTGCCACCACCAGCGCGGCAGCAGCAGTGCGTCGCCCGGGCCCAGCTCCACCTGGTGCTTCTCCGGTTCGCCGAACGCGTAATTAAGGCGGATTGGAGTGAACAATCCATGGCAGACTTGCCGGAAAAGAAAGACAATGAAAGAGATACCATTATCTAAGAATTGCGAAAGGGCAGTTACAGGTTGAAGTGCTTCTAAGAACCGAAGCACGACCGCCCCCGGTCCAAAATCCGACCTCCACCACCTCCCGAACTTCCAACCTACCACCTCTGGGAGCCCCAAACATTCGAGGGGTCAGCTTCGCTACGCGCCTCGAAGCTACGCGCCTTGGCTGCACCAAAGAGCGGGAACTCCTGACGCACGCGCTGAAGGAGGTGGAAGGAGGTCGTAGAACACACCCACTCACCGAACGGATGCCCTCTTCAATCCATCTTCAATCCATCTTCAACCCATCTCCGCCTTTGGTTTTTGGCCGCAAAAACACAGCCTCATGCAACTCATTCCGGTTTGCACCCACGCCCCTTCCGGCCCCTTCCACCCGGCCCTCCCAGGCTCCTTCAGAAAGGACGCGACCTCGCTCGACCCCCACGTGTCCACGCGCGACACGTGCGGCGCGGAGGGATCCGCGGCGCCGCGCGCGTACAGGCCTCGGGCAGAGGGCGGCCGGGTGGCGGGTTGACCGGTGGAGCGGCTGGGGGCCGAACACCGTCCTTTGGGTGGTGCTGGTGTCTGTTTCTTCAGCAGTTCAGAGGAAGAAATAGCATCCAATGGTCCAAAGCGGTTCTTTAATGCCTAACAGTTTTCCAGTGAAGAAACCTGTTGCTCAACTAGGTCCCCAACTCTGAGGTCCCTAACTAGGTGTTCTCTGTGATGCGAACTTGCGGTCTAATACCAATCTAGCTTGGGATTCTTGGTCCACCTCGAGAGGTGACTAAACGCCACAAGCCTTCCCGCTTCCGGCCGTGGCACGGTCGTGATCACAGGGGCGAAAGAGCCGGAAACGTTTCCGTCCCGAGAGTTGCAGGAAGAGATTGTCCTGGGCGGGACGGACGTTTCGAGAGTTGCGAGGGTTGTCCTGTTGAAGGAAGCAATCCTGCAGAAGATGTTTCGCACACCAAACAAAAAGAACACGCCCCAGTGCTACTGCTTAGCATTGACTATCACCCAACAGAGCTCGCACAGAGCGCAGCTCCTTCCCCCGTAGAGGTGAACATGTGGAGGGCCCAAAAGGTGACCGAGATGTGCACTGAGAGTTGTGAGGGGGGATACAGCATTTTGAATGGATTGCTAGGACCCGACTTCACAGGTCACGAATTGAAACCTGTTAGAGCCTAACAACCCTCCATTTCGGAGACCTGTTTGGAGGGTGCTGCTAGATGAACATGAGCGAAAGGAAGGACTGGACCCTTCTCCTGAGATTTTCAGCCAAGAATGTGAAGTGAAAAAGATCTGATGAACCCCCCTCACTCCCTGGCCTGCGCTTGGAAACCTTGTTTTAAAGTAACTAAATTAACTAAATTAAAACAAAACAATCATTCTTGAGTCCCCCGACCCAAAATGACCCAAACCCAAAGATCTCTGCAACAGACGGGTTCGTAGAGGCATATGCTTGAAACATTGGGAGGGAGGGTGTCATCTACTCAAGGAAACCTGCGAAGAATCCTGCTTGGCCGAAGTAAGTGCACTGGCCGACCCACCGTGCAGGTCTCGTGCGGTTTACAGGGTCTGTATGGGTCTGGTCTGTCGCATAGTCTAGCATCTGAAGCTCCTGTAGAGGATGTGATGCCTCTTCGTTACAGCTTTGCCACTGACCTTCTTTCCTCCCTCATCCCGAAAGGGGAAACCACTGCTCTGCGCGAGACGGCACTGCGCAAGCTTAACTGCTTTCCAGGCCACCATCAGATGCATCAGCTGAGGTAACTAAGCTCCATAGACATGCATGGTTATACATGATCAATTCATGATTTGTGGATCATGTTCATTGGAGAACGCCGCCGACCATTCCGCCCCCCCCCATTCCGCAAGGCAAGCCTCGATGGAACTCCGGGCGTCGGTCTCCGCAGAGACCCTCGCCCAGTCACCCCGGTCGAAGTGCAGAGACGTCTTAATCCCCTCGGCGCCACCTGGGTGTGGTGCTTTTCGGTGCCCCGCCTTTCCGGGAATGGGAATGGGGGTGGGGGGTCACTGCTGGAATTTGTGTTTTTCCCCGAAATGAGGTTGTAGGTGGGAAACTGAAGTTTGAAGAGAACTAGTCGACTGATTGGTAGCCTTGTACAAAACATCACAATGTTAAGTCAACTTGAGTCTTTAGTTTCTGCCCATACCGCAGTTGTAAAACATTCGGGGCAAACCCAGCAACTCAAATGAGTTGCGGGCATAGAGTAGCCTGGAGGCAAAGGAGTCACTTAGCTGGATATATCTCGATGGGTATAGCTGAGCGGTGGTACTTATTCCTTACTAACTGAGTCAAATAAAGTACAGTATCTGTTCTGTGGGGGGCCTATATCGATTGGACTACTTAAGTAGGAGGTCATGTGACAGTATCTCGTTCCGACTACTTTAGTGTCATCAAAAAAGTATCTCGTTTATGTGGAGGGCCCTATCTCGATCAACAGCGAATACTGATGTAGAGCATGCCGTAGACTACTTTATATAAAGACTGAACAAAAGTGATTGCTCAGCTGTTCATTCCATTTCATTCCTATCCTCAACTAAGGTTGGCACCAGTGAACGTGTTTTAGGCCCACAACGCCTTCAACGCACCCGCACACGCTTTCTTTTTAAACGCAGTGTCCCGCCATAGAAAAATAGATGTCCATCTCAGATACGGATGAAGGCACAAACAGGCCTGGACGTCTTGTCACCACCACTGCGAAAGACCGTAACTTCTTCATGATAACCTTTGTATCCATCGATATCACAGACCTGCGAAACTCGTCCATGTTCAGAAAGCCGAGATGGAAGAAAATCACGGTAAACATCATCATTTAGCACTTCATTCACAGTGGTTTTGGCCACAAAACAGGAAAACAAATGAAAACATATGAAAAACATTGAAAAACAGTCTGCTTTTGAAAAGAGAACACACGAGCCTCCTGGCATACATAATCGCTGTCAGGCAGTGTAAAGCCATTGAAAATGAGGTCCTTCGTGCTCATCGTCTTTCCATACATTTGGTACTTCTTACCCTCGATGAGCCGGCAATTCGAGTAGGTGAGGTTATTCCCAGCCCACATGTGCCAGGTTTCGCATTTCTTGGTGCAACAAGCGCCCTCGCCCAACCTCAGTGTCAGCTTGGCAGCTGGGTTGGCAACCCTCCCAATTACCGTGTTCGTTGGCGCTCTGCTCTTCGCGACACAGGTCCCCCGCACCCCCCAACCGTGACGGAAGCGGAACCCCGACCGTGCGACGGGTGTTCCATGGGCTTTTTCCGAAAAACACCTCCTGTGCACGTGCCGGCCGTTGGGTCGGACCCCCTCTCTTGGTACTTCATGGATGTTTTTCCGCTCCCCGCTTCGCTCGCAAAACCACCCGCCAAGTCTCC